ATATATACTTCAAGAGGTATAACCAAGTGACTTCCCACACTGGGAAATGACTCTACCACTGAATTATATTCCCAGACCTATCCAAGCATTTTATTAGTCAGTAACCACAATGATTCTTGGGTTTTCTCATAAATGTATTGATTTGCTTTTGTTTTCTCTCTTGCATTTAAATGTGATTTTGCTTTTCCTTCTTTACAACCTCATGTTGTTTGCTTGCAAATAGACCTTGGTTAAATTTATCTTTATACCATAACATTTAAAAAAAATCAATCCACAAAAATGGGTATACCTGAATAAGATCAACACTTTCTGCCAGAGTCTGGGAAAAGTCTAAGATAGAGGCCCTCAGAACCGCTAAGGGCTAGGTCTGATCTTATTTGTTTAAGATAGGCTCATTATGACCTCAAAAACAGTACAGTAGCTGTTTATTTTAGGATTGCTTCCTATGAAACATGTGTGACAACTCATTAATAGGTACAGATCTTGTGTTCTTTCAAAAATCTCTAGTTATTATTCCTTTTTACACTAGTAGTAATATTTTTTGTTTTGTTTTCATTTTAAATATGGTTCTTAAAGAGCACAAAGTGCCTTGAACTTTTAAAAAAGTATAAAGACAAGTAAGGGATGTAAATACTCACAAGCAAACAGCAGTAGGTAAGAACAAATGACAAAAGGAAGAAGGGAAAGGCATTTCATGGACTGAAGGGTGTTGTTAGTTAGGAAATTAATGTACAAACAGGGATACAAATCCTGCCCATAGCTATTATAAAGCCAACAAAAGGCCCCCATAGTGACACAAAGCAGAGCGTTAATTTGAAAAATACAAAAAGCTCACATAATCTATTACAAGATGAATTGCAATTACATCTAAATGAGGTACATTCCTTTCATTTAAATGGATATTTTACGGGTTAATTAGCTTAGCCTAAAAAAAAAATCTTTATTTTAATCTTGGCATTGACTTTAACAGGAGCTAAAATTTCAAGCTTTAATCATGCAAATACATGTGCAAAGGTCTATCACAGTCCAAATGGAATTTTAGGTCTCCATGCTTCTCTAACTACCTTAAATTCTGACCTACATGTCGTAATTGCTTTGAGTCACAAAGGTAGTTTAATTTCTGGCCTTAGTACATGTCTTAGACATATTTCCTATTTTAGCCTTAGGATATTACTCTGATTACACTCAATGTATTTTTCTTTGTTACTTTACCATACACATGGTGTATAAAAGCTGATAAATATGATATTCTACCTTTAAAGAGAAGTAAAATTCCAGACACAATAAGAGAAAAGGTGTTTTGTCCTCTCCACCTTGTTTTACTTTTCTTATCACTAACTATCTAGTACTCTGTCAGCTGAGAATTGAGGGAAGGGGAACGTATGGCCAAGTCACAGACCAGGGCAGTCAGGCAATGATGAGTTGGCTTTATAGTCATAATTCCTGTGCTCTTCCTCAAACTGAGACAGAATACAGTTACAGGGCAGAGATAGGAGAACAGGAAGTTTCTAGGCAGCATTAGTAAAGTACAGCTCTAGGGAATGAATGTGGACATTTGGCCACATAATGCCCAGAAGGACAATGACTGAGCTCAGGTCTGTTTATGTATGCCAGCCAGGACAGTGACAAAGTATCTACATGAATACACCTTCAACTGTCTTTGTTCCTCACACTGAAAGTCAACTATTTGTTTTAAAGTATCTGAATGTGATGCTCCCTTCTGAGCATTTGTGACTTTTGATTTGTTCTATCTGCATTAAAAACTTACTTGATTTCTTCTATCCTTTTTTTTTTTTTTAATTGGAGAGGACTCAGAGTTGTTGAATAATAATAGAGTATTCAAAAGTCAAAAACATCACTCTGTAGTTAGGCAAAAACCCTTAAAATACATTCAGAGATTTGTCTGCATTTAATGTGAATTCTGTGTAATTGAATATTTGTTACATAGATGTTTTAATATGAATGTTAGAAGTTATTACTACCATTAAATTTATATGAAATTCTTTCAAAACTTTATGTTCATATAAACAATTAGTAAGTCTTAGAGCTCCTCAATTTTTCCTCTAACTCAAAAAACCTTTTGTTTTCATATTAGCAACTAGCTTGACTTTGGGATGATAGAGCAATATTTAGTATCTTTCTATGATTCCACAAATTGAAATTCAGTTGTTTGCGAGCTATTTTCAGATCAGAATTTCACCAACTTATTTTCTAAGTTGTTAAGAATTATTAATTTTTCATTGCTTTCTTTCCTCCTACCTTTACTTATTTTCTCACTAACTCTACAACTTTCATGAATCTTTTTCATAAGTTTTAACATTTAAATATTTTACTATTTCCATCTAAATTCTCAGGCAGCTGTTTTGCATTTGAAGGCAATGTGGATAACTCTCTAATCAGACCACTTTTTCATACTTTAGTCTAGGTAATAGCCATGGTCTCTGCTCCATTTGAAATAGGAATATTGCAGCATTGCAGGGTCTAAGTACACCAGCTACAAACACTCGACTAATGGAAGCCTCCTTCTTGACTCACAACTCTTACAATGACATAATTAAGAACGGTTAACACCCTTTTATCTGAAAAGATTCTGCCTATTATCAAATATCTCTGTTTGAAACAAAGTTCTTGTTAGCCACACGAGACAGGAATCTCATAGGCTATAAATGGTACTGTTTTTAGTCACAACATAGAGTACAGCATACTTTTATAAGGCTAGTTACAGAACTATCCTTTTCTCTTTATCTTTATTTTCCCTATGCATGCATATGTCACAATTCTTTAAACAAAAAGTCTCAACTTCTCTTCCCCCACTTAAGTAGCTTGCTTTTATTTTTACTTCGTTCGCTTTGTTCTGGAAAATCATGGGACTTGTACCAGAATCAGGAACTCCTAATTATATGTTTTTTTTTTTTTTTGAAATCCAATAAAGAATATATCTGCTTTGAGAAAGTATGTAGTAGGCGCCTACATTTTTCTGCAGACTTAAAAGTATTTGGTTGATCAGTGGTAGCAGATCTTGACTCTCAGAGTTCAGACTTCAGAGACGTCCAGTCTTCCATGCAGCCTCTTCTCTGACATCACGTCGTTCCCCTTTGACTTGGACCAAAGCCCTCTATCTGCTTCTAGTTATTAATAGACTTCATAGTCTAATACCAAGTCAAAAAGACAAAGATCAGAAAATGAACGAATTTATAATGAAAATGTCTGATGTCCTAAAGTAGATGATGAAGACTTGGATGATGAATTTGGAAATACGTGAGAAGTATCTCAGGTAATTAAACGATATATTATATAGTGCCTGCTGGAAAAATTTTAATAGTATGGGTGGGCTCTCACTGATATTACAAGAACCACCATAAGCACCATCCAAATGAATGAGGTTATTAGCACTTTCTCCACAGTGTCAAATGGTAGGGCGACCTGGAGAGGACAGAGTTGTGAGGGCACTCTCAATTGGTGAGAGTAGGAATAAAGAACATTAATTTGAATATAATGAACAAATATTTCAAAAGTGAAGACATGTTGAGTCTGAATGTAGTAGGTCTATGAAGATGGATGCTAAAAAGAAATCCCACACTAGTTAAGAATTGAGTATAATAAAGGGTTACTTATTTAGGGGTAGATTTACAGATCACAGTTCTCTGCTTGAATGGAGAACAGCAACTGAATCCAGCAGTTGGAAGAGAGCGGGAATGGGTGCTTTACATTGGAATTTATAGTATAAGAGGCCATGCCCAAGTGGGCAGGTAACTTAAAGGCTACTGGCTGTAGGATTTCCTACAGCAGATTTATGTATATTTAAATCTAAATTGCCTCTATCTGAATAAACCACTATACTTACAAGCCTGCTGATCCCCTGATAGTGTGACTGCGCTTAGGCCACCTCCTTTCTTCAGCTGATGAAAGGTGAGGGAATATTACTCATAAAATTTACTCTAAAGTTACAGGGAAGTATAACAAACATATCCAAAATTAGGCAAATTTAGTTCTTGTTTATCATATGATAACCAAAAATTATCTCCTTTGGAGAAATATTACAAAAAAATAGAATTTAAAGACATTGTCCATGCTGTAGTACAAAAAAAAAGAACTTAGAATAGCTGGTAAAAAGTACCCAAATTTTAGTCATTAATTATAGATTTCAGAATATCACCTTGTGCTTGTATAGTGCCAGTTGCTTCTTAGGTGGGAACACAATGAGGTGGACTTTGTTTGTCTTTGTCCTTGTTTTCAGTTTGTCTGTTATTTTTTCATATATGAACCAAATATCAACATACAGCTGACAGCTGGGAAGTTGTTAATCTCACTCTTATTTTACTAAATTAACAATATGTTAAGACTATAGTTGTCTGGAAGAAGCTTCCCACAAGTATTTTTCATACTGATTTGAAAATATCAATTGCTTTCCAATATTGGTTGATAGCGCTAAGGTTTTGGATTTTGACAAGCAGGTTTTCCCAGAGATTGAAAACAAAAATGTGATGGGGAATTATTTCTTCCCCTCCTCCTTTCCCAGAAGTTCTCTTTCCTCCTTTTCTTTTTTCTTTTGCATTCTACTTAGAGAAGAAAAGTAATCTCAGTGTTTTCCCTGAATGTTTTCCTTCACGAGAAAAATCTCCAGTATTGCCAATTGTAATAGAACTTTTCAAATGAATCAGCTCAGCTTTTAAAGCCCTGTGTGGTGATCGCAATGATGATACACCACCACTGACTCAAAACTACTCATACTTTTTCAGGAAAGACAGATTATTCAACAATTCTTCAGAATTTCTAGGCCTTATTTACCAAACATGAACTCCAAATGAAAAGAAGATCTCTGTCTTGAAATGAATGTTTCTTTGGGCAGACCCATGCTCTAGAGTCCTTTCCATTTTTTAAATTAGTTGATGAGGGGTCTTAAAATATACTGGACCGTTTCAAGTCCTATTTGATCACTGGGATAGAACCATTCCCACTGGTTCCTTTCTGTATATGTCTAACTAACCAGCTCTTATTTTGCTTCTGTTATTTATATTATAGCTAAATATTTGCTTGTAGAGCTATTGTGTATAATCAATATGATAAACAAAATGAAAATGAATGGAACAAAAAGAATGAGTAAGACAACTTTTATGGTTTGCTGATATTTGCTTTTCATTCACAGTCTTAGAAAGCAAGTGGTTTGTTGAATTAAGCTTTCGTATGATTATGTTGAAACAAAGAGCCAGCCCTATGAGATTTTTTTTTAATGAACCATTTGTCAAAGACAACTAACTTTAAATTCTATTTTGTTTAAACAAGTTCAACAGGGCACATTTTGGCTATATTTTCAAATTCATAAAGAGAGGAGTAGAGAATTATATTATAGTTTATTACTATCCGGACAATCAAAACCATGAACTAATAGTCCATGCATTTTAAGACTATGGTACATTTCACAATTTAGTATTATAGTGTCTTTTCAGTTTTATGTTTATTTGTTACTTAACTAAATTTCTGAACCAAAAAAAAAAACCAAAAAACAAAAAAAGTTTTTCATGTTGATTTTCAAGAAATAGACAAAGCTCTTCTGAAACTGTGGTCAGCATTTTTCAGCAAATTGATTTGCTTTCTGAGGGAAGGCCACTCTGGCATGGCCTTGCTTACCGTGCAGAGATATCTATCAAGCAGTGTGCACGTACACATTCAGTTCTGTGGTTAGATTCACAACCATGGTTACATCAGGCATTTCTCCAAAGCTCAGGAGTTAGGGACTGGTAATTACAGCAAATTGTTTATTATAAATAATGCATGTATGTTCTGCATGAGCTATGTGGGATTTTAGCCCATTTGGTAAAATATAGCTGCATAATGCTTTGTTTGTATTACATTACTGATGATTGACAGGGAAGAACGTTGGCAGTGATGTAGATGATTGTGGGGCTACCTTGAAATTTTCAGTTCAAGTGGTGATCTCTTCTCTTTTTCTGTGTGCTTGTCTAGTCTCGGCAGACACCTGAGGGTGAGTTCCTTCCCCTTGACCAACTTGAACTGGATGTAGGTTTTAGCACAGGGGCAGACCAACTTTTTCTTGTGTCCCCTCTCACAATTTGCCACGTGATCGATGCCAAAAGCCCCTTTTATGACCTATCCCAGAGAAGCATGCAAACTGATCAATTCGAGGTTGTCGTCATCCTAGAAGGCATCGTGGAAACCACTGGTGAGTAAAACATAGATGTGCCATCAAGTGTTTCATTTAGAATTCTCTATGTTGTACCTGCAATAACTGGCCTAATGTCTCTTTTCACTAGCATTAAAGTAAAGACTTGTCATTTAACATACTGATTGCATATAATACTTTACAAATGAAGATTGTTGTTCTGGTGGCTATAAACCTGATATTAACCTAGGAATAGTGATTAAAACTAAACTGAGGTGATGTCTTAGCAATCTATTCTGTTTTAATAACACACTAAGATTTCTTATGATAATTATTTTTCTTTCAAAATTTAAGGTTAAGAAATAGTTGGGTAATTAGCGATCAGTCTGAATTCAGAATGTGTATTCCTGACCTGTGGTGCTAAAATGGTGGGTGGTGGGAATTCATTGATGAAGCTCTGACATCTACTCTGTGAAGCCTCAGGGAAAGTGTCCCGTGTGTCTGTGCACACAGAAGCAGTGGTATTGTTTTAGAGCAGAGCATCAGTTTTCGTAGGTAAAACTAACTATAGCCTTCTTCTCAAAACAGGACTTAGTTTATTCCTGCTTCAGTTTGATTTATCTTTCTGTATTCAATGCCATTAGAATGCTCAAAAATAATTTGCTACTCTCTGAGGAGGGTTAGGCAGGCAACGAAAAGAACTAATAAATGTAAGTGATTTGAGCCATAAGCATTGCCATTTAAGTTTGGAGCCTGCTGAGTGTTTGAGACTCATACATGACTACCTACATAATTATGTACGTGCATGTGTATGCAACTTGATTTTTGCATTTTTCTTCAGGTAATAAAGAGGTAAGAAAGATTTTAGTTTTTCTCCTTTCATTTTTCTTTTGTAGATCAATACCATCTTAATCTCGAAACGCTAACTGTTAATGTAAGGTAATACTGGATTTAAGAGTGTCAAAACTAGAAATGCAGGTTTCATTCTAGGATGTGTCTTTGATTGCATTGCACCACTTGTCCAAGCAGTGGGAAGGTTGCTGCTGTCTTTCATATCTGTGACATAGTGACTGCTTGAATAAAGCAAGGTACCTTTTGTCTCCAAACTGAGTTTTTCTCCTTTTATAGTGAGGGCCATTTATTGATGGATTCACAATGGACCTTTAACGTTGCCTTGGTTATTAATATTTAGCTTAAAATTAAGGTTCTTCAAAAGAGTGACAAAAGATTTATTAATCTAGTAGATTAGAAATTTGACTTTTGTGCATTTGTATAGTTACACTCCCCATTTTGTTTTCTTGCTTTTTGTTGTTTTCTTTTAATTTTTACAAGATTGTTTGAGCATTTTTTAAATTGATTTCATTGAGCTACACATTTTTCTCTGCTCCCTTCCTTTCCTGCCCTCTCCCCTTCAACCCTCTCCTATGGTCCCCCAATTTACTGTCTCTTTCCACTCTCCGTGTAGATTAGATCCATGTATATCTCTCTTAGGGTCCTCATTGCTGTCCAGGTTTTCTGGGAATATGAATTGTAGGCTAGATTTTTTTTATTTTAGAATCAAATAGTGTCAGTATGCTTATAAAATTGCTACCTAATAAAGGAACCAATTTAAATTTACTTTAGATGGTAATTTTTAAGCACGAAAACATTTCCTTACAAAATCAGTTTAAGGACGAATTGCTTCCTTAGTTCTTGTGTGTGTGTGTGAGTGAGTGTGTGTGTGTGTGTGTGTGTGTGTGTGTGTGTGTGTGTGTGCATGTATGGGTGAGCTCTCAGGGTCCAGAAGCTGGAGTTACAGGCACTTATGAGACACATATCTGGGTACTGGGAAGGGAGTTAAGATCCTTTGAAAGATCAATAAAATCTTTTAAGTCCTGATTCATCTCTCCATCCCTTTATTTTGTGTTTCTTGACCTTGTAATGTTTGAAAAATCTAAATCAAGTTGTCTATATATTAGTTGTACTTGTACCTGATCTTCATATAATCATTAATTTTTTGTGTGTGCTTAATAATGCTTTTTGTTATTGTTTCTATATCCGTATCTTAATGGTGGATGCCGAAACATGTTACTTTGTAATTTTAGCTCTATTTCAGAGCTGTTTAAGGTCAGCTTGAATTCTGCACCATCAATTATTCATTATTATTATTGATTTTATTTTGATGACATTCTTAACTCTTGCATTTTTATTTCATCTGTTTTGATGAAAGTCAACTGGCTGAGAATACTTTGCACAAGTAATGAGAAACTAGGATGGGGATGTAATTTCTTACTTGGAGATTGTTTTTCATGACAAAGAGCACATATTCTTCCTTTAAAAAAATCTCTTATTAAGCAAAATACAAAATGAAACCACTGCTTATAACACATTACTTTATGGAAAATTCTTCTGATACTTTGTTTATATATTTGACACAGCTAATAGACTCTTACAGTATTCAAATTCTGAAAAACCTACTTCCAGACCCCATGTCTCAGCTTAATCAAAATTTCACATTTTTATTTCACATGTTCATTTAACATTCTTATTGAAACACACTGTGATTCCATATTGAATTGTTTTGTCCCATATGCCTGTATCCACAGTAAAAATATTCTTTCTCATAGTATTTACTTTGGGGAACAAGGGAGAGAGGGTCAGTGTGACTTATAAGGCAAGAACATGATGTTTTTTCCTCCAGTTTTTGGATACAGAACCTTGGCATTGAACTTGTGCTTTGTGTAACTTTCCATCATGTTTGAAATTAAAGAATCTACATTGTGTCATTCATTAACTTACCATGAAAGTATTTAATATATGTTATGTGTTTGCAAGATTCTAGGGAACTTAAAGGTATAGTGGTGACTTAGATAGGGCCCCCTCTAGGCTTTATATTGTGTCAGAAACATACTATGTTATTTAAATAAGATAAACATTATCTTTCTCAAGAATTAAATAAAAGCAAATCAAAATACATACTTAACTCCAAAACCAGGTAATGGGGCGGTTAAATGGCTGAAGAGCACTTTAGATTGATGCTTAGAAAGATACTCTAAGGGAGGTGACACCTGGGGGTAGGCATGGTGGGAGAATAGGAGGGGTGGGAGGTGAACTGTGGTTGGAATGTGAATTGAAATAAAAAAAATTAGAAAAAGACAAATCTCGGTTGGTGAATGTAAGGGCAGAAGATGACAGGTCTTCAGGGATTGTTGGTGCAACTGCCTGTGTGTGGAATAGGCTTGATTTGTTTTGGTAGCTAAGGACGTGAAGTATAATGTGAGACAGTAAAGAGGAGGCCTAGCCTTCATTGCATAGCCTTTACTTCACTGTAAGCATTGGGAGTTACTTAGATGAGTACTCGTTTAGTCAACGTGGCTTGTGTACAACAAAACTCCATTTTACCCATCTGATATGTAGTTTATTTAGAACTTAGTAACTAGTGTCTTCGAAACATATGCAGTTCTAGAGAGTGCCTTCTCTCCTGTCAATCATCCTTGCCTTCTGCCCCTGTGCACCGGCACTCCCTAACCAGTCACTTCAAGACAATCCTTTACTAAGAATTTTTAAATTTCATGTTGCTTTGCTTCTTCCTGATGATCCCATGGTCTCAGAAGGAATGGACATGACCAGGGGATAAGAAATCAGTGTCTCCCTACTTTACACGAAGAGCTAGGTAGCAGGCAGCCTAAGAAGATCTGAATTAACCCTTTTTCCTTCCCTTGGAAATATCCAGTGGCCAGACTCAGAGATTGCTGCTCTGCTGCATTGAAATGAGTCAGGCTCCCATGCATGCCACAGCCTGCCTCGTTTTCAGCAATAGCCTTTGTGTCCTCGCTCCCAGAGCAAGTCCCTGCCATAGAATATACCTCTACCTTCTGTTCTCTGCACCGCGTCTCCCTGGAGAGTGAGCACTGCTGGACGCAAACAAAGCCCTGCAGATTTGGCTCATTAGAACTGGATGCTTTCAGCCTTCAATCTGGTTGCTGCTGCTATTTGGCAGTCTTTTTTAATTGTCTTTTCTGTACTCTCCGACTCAGTCCCCATGAGATCTATTTTAGACCTTTCCTCTGTCTCCATACCCCCAGTTCCAGCTGTCCCATCCCTTTCCTGGCATGCTATCTCTCCACCTCGTCTATTAAAAACTATATGACACTTCAGTTTTTCTACAGGTCTTTGCTTTAACCCTTTCTTTTCCTGGTATTTGTTATGAAGGCTGTCCTTTTTATTTAGTTTTTCTTTTTATTCTCTTCTGAGACAGCTTCATATTCTCTCATCAGGCTGGCCTGGAACACACGGCAATCTTGCCTCAGCCTCCTGAGTGCTGCTCAAACCCTCAAACCCTTGTGAGATAGTTTACCAGACTTCTGCTCCTGATGCACTGCTACCTACCACCAACGTATCATATTTACTATCTACAGCCATCTGTCCATTGGTCCCCTTGCTATGCCCCCAAATCCCCATTCTTTCTTCATGGGAAAAAATACCATCATCTTTCCTTTTTTGCTTTGAAGATTCCCTCCCCCTCCCCCTTGGGAGTCAGAGGCATGACCTACTCCTCCCATGCCTTTGCCTTTCTTTCTTTTTAGTTTATTTTTTCTAGTCATTCTTTATGTCCTCATTTCCACATCTTGGTCTTTATCATCTATCCTACCGGTTCTCCCAAGTTCCCTGAATTGCTTAGTATTATTTTTTAATCAGTCATAGCTTTCACTTCTCCGTCATTCTACTATTCATCTCCCGCAAGGAAATCTTTCAATCATGATTTTGTAGATCCTATTTATTCCACATCATTTTCTACTTAGTTGCTGAATTTTAATTCAGAGTTCCCTTCTCCTGGTATCATGGCATCTTATTTTCCAATTATAAAGTTTTTTTATTTTGGATCATTTATCTCTTTTACCAACATATTTTATCACAGACCACCTCTTTCCTTCAGGACTTATTTTTTCTCGATGTTAGAAAATATATAAATTAAAAAAAAAGAGAATTCCTGATCTTCCGGCTTCTTCTGTGAGGAAAACAAGAGACGGGAGGAAATGCATCATGTAAGTAAAGGGAAGGTGCTGTTAAATACAGTAATGATGGGCGGGAGACACTGGGAATGCAAAGCCCAAAAGACCGCAGCGAAAAGTGGACCGCTGAACTCTGAGCAGAAGAAATAGCCCAGATAAGGTGGTTATAGGTAAAGATTCCAGCAGATGGGAGTGTTCCCAGACAGACGCCTCTATTCTGAGTAATGTCTGCTTTTTTTGCTTGCTGTGTGGTTACCTTCTTACTATGTTTAGGCATGCATCATGATGGTACTTGGAAACCAGTTGCTCATATGAAGATTTAGCTTTTGTAAGATCTCTGCTCACTAGCATATTGTATAATAAAGCCTAGGGCATTTGCTTAACACCCACTTTGGTTATAAGCCTGTGCTTGAAAATACTAACAACAACTACATAAATATGCACACATTATTATTTTTTTTGGAGAAAACTAGACTATACCTCTTTCTCTAAAGTTCATACATTCATACTCATGCTTGCCTCTCATCTTTATTATCATTTTAATTTTCATTGCTTTGGATGTCATTTCTATCTTTCCCAAGACTGCAAGAGCAGCATAGGCTCTGGGTTTTTCTTACGCACTTTAGCACTTAGTTTCCTTAACTAGGTCATTAAGACTTATTAATCATGTAAGGGTTATTGCTTAAACTGCTCCTTTCAGAAGGTGTAAAAGGTACAAATATGCAAAAGTAGAAACTTTTTCTTAATTTTATTTGCTGTGCTATTAACAGGCGGATATATTACCTCTTAAAGTGTTTATATTTGATATAGTACTGTGCTCAGCGTGGCGTTCCATGATTTACGTTACTATATTATCTTTTGTTGCTGCCTGTATGCCAATTTATAATGCTAGGTCATTAATCTGAATGACTCCATTGTATGCTGACACATGCCTATCTGGCTCTTACAGCTAAGCCTCTAATCTAGATTCTTTAACTTTCTATTTTCTCTTTAACAAGACAAACACTCTTGATAGCTTCAATTCATTTACTCCCTACTAGCTATTTTAGATAAACTACAAGGGCATGCTGGTCAGTTTTTGTTTGTATAACATAAACTAGGATTATTTTAGATGTAGGAACCTTAACTGAAAATCCCTCCTCCCGCCCTCAGATTGGCCTGTGGGTGTGTCTGTGGATCATTATCTTCCTTCCAAATTCGGTTTTGGTCAGTGTCTGATAGTATGGTAAAGCAAGCTAGGACACTGAATCAACAAACATATAAATCTGCTGGCCTTTATTTTAATTTTTCATTAAATTTGCAATTTTTCCATCGTGTTGGTGATTTAACTCAACTTCTTGCTGGAGTTAAACAAGCCCTGTACCATGTCATCACATTTTCAATCCAGTTGCTTTTAATTATGCTTTAGGTTTATTTATTAATTTATGCTTATGAAGGTTTTGCCTGTATATATGTATGTATGCCGTGCACACTTCAGGCATCTGCAGAGTTCAGAAGAAAGCATCAGATCATCTGGGAGTGCAGGTACTGAGAGTTGAGTGCTGGCATTCAGAAGATGGAATTTAACCTGCGTCCTTTGCAAGAGTAACAAGTGCTCTTAACTACTGAGTCAACTTTCCAGCTGCTTTCTCTTCTTAAATAGGCAATATATCTCAGGAGTCCTATCTGAGTCCCATCTTAGTATCAATAAGCAGCTGCAAATTAAGGTGCTCATTTCTTTCTATATCCACCCAAAGTAAACATTGTAAAAATGTTTGTCATTATTTTAAAACCTTTGATTAGTGATGAGTAAGAAAGCATTCTTCTCCCTGCCTGCCTACTGGCTACGTCGCTTGTCTTACAAATTGTCAGATAATAAGCCTACTTTTGATTAATAATATACTTGTATAATTAGTAAGGTAAGGTCCCTGGTAGGTCTTATTTCTTGAGAGAAACATTTTCTTTAAACAAATCCAAGTAAGATTATTGTATTTATTTCATAAGTACTTTATTACAGACAAGGCAGAAGGTTTTGTCCTTCAAGAATGGTATCTTAGCTTTAAGACCAGCAATCATGACCACTGAGGGTTCATTTTGCAAAGGGCGTCACAGACACTTTGGAATGCTAAGGGAAATATAGATTGACTGATCAAAGACAAGCCTAGACTGATTCCTGGATAACTTTCAAATGTAAAGTACAGACAAGACTGTGAAAAGTATTAACTAAGAATGTGTCGTCCTGGTGATACTTCACGGTAGAAAGTTCCCTCTGGCAGCAGGTGGAAGATTGATTCAGTGGATCTGAGCCGGACTACAGACCAGTCATTAGGTTGTTACAACAGCCCAGAGCAGAGGTAATTGAGCTCTGTTTGCAATTTGATGCAACTCTGTGGCTGTTGGAAGTAATGAAAAAGGCCTCAGGTTTGAAAGCCGTTACTTGTGATTAAACAGAGAAGGGGGGACTGGGGAGCTGGAATTTTTCCCACAGACATTCCACTAGTTACTGAGAAGCCTAGACATCTAGGGCAGAAATGGGATGGGGTGGGGTCTGGATTCATAAATAAAACAGCAGTGACGAACTGTTGACACGTTTTCTGACCAATGGAAAAATCACTAAAATGTTCTAAAAAGAATAATTCAAAGATTAAAACATCTCACTCTCTTAGTAATTGTGAAGTGTGATTATTTTCTTTTCTTAAAAATTTGATGGTATTTAGCTTTATTATCTGTCATCAGTCATTGGACCTTTATGATTTATTGGGAAACAATGATCATCAAACTGTTTTGGTAATGTCTGGCTATGGGTCTCTTTCTTTGCTCCCATTTACTTCAGGGGGAAACTTCTTTGATGGTGACTGAACAAGGCCTGGATCTAAGAGTACAGTAGCATGTCATTTGGAATCATTTTATTGTTACATTTGATTTTCAGACCAGTACTATTTGATTTTACTCTTGGTCTCTGGGCTCTCTTGCCTCTGGTTCTTGGTCACTCACGCAGTATCAGGTAGGGGTCCTGTCTCTTGTAGTGAACTTTAAGCCAAATAAAACATTGGTAGTTATTCCTACACAGTTTGTGCCACCATTGTTCTAGAATATTTTGATGATAGGACCGAGTGTAGATCAAAGGTTTTATGATGAGGATGGTGTTTATATTTCTCTTTTGATAGCCTGCAGAGTAATCTTCCATGTCAAAGACACTAGACCATGGAGGTGAAGGTTCTCTGTTGCAGCAACTCAACCAAATGCCATTGTGATTAAAGTATTTATTGAACTAACTATTCAACTGTAATATACCTTTAAATTTTCAAACATCTCTTCACGTATTTTTGTGTATGTGGGTTGGTATGTGCCACACGTGTTGGTCAGAGAACAACTTTCAGCGGTCTGTTTTCTTCTTTTATCCATGAGTCCCAAAGATTGAACTCAGGTTAGGTTTGACCTGAAGCACCTTTGCCCATTGAGACAGCTTGATGCTCCATCACCTGCAATATATTTTTAAAAACTCAAATTTATTACTGTGAGTATTTAAATTTTATTATGATTTGCATGTGCCCATATTATATGTGGAAATTAGAGGATGGAAGAATTCACAGCAGGCACATGAAGGCCCACGGAGGCTGCAATGGACTCCATTCTCTCTTTCCCCCTTTTCTCTTCAGGTTCTGGTGGTTGAACACAGGTGTTCAGGTCTTCATGATGGTTGCTTGACCTCGCTGAGCCATTTCACTGACTCTTCCTTGTAATACCTTCTGCGTAAACTTTTCACATCCACACATATTAAAACCGAAAGAAATGACAGCGATTTAAATGCGTGCAGTCTTCAGAGATAGAGTTTGTGTTGATGCAGTCTGTGCTGATCAATGTAGCCAAATGCAAATTAATGTGGGAAGGAAACAGTGAAAATCAGGGGTATGAATTAAAATGTGTTGCTGTTCATCATCCTAACTACGAACAAGATGTGATCTCTATTGTGGAACATTGTGTAAAGATGTGACATAAATGCCAAACAAGGATGCTGATGCCACTCATGGAGGGAGACTTGCTGCACACTCATTAGATGCGGAACACAGTGTGCAGTCATTTACTGATGCACAGGAGGGAATAGCATCATGCTTGCGACCAAGTTCAGAAAGACAACTTTCATTTCACAAGAAGACAAACATTGGCGACTAGTCAACGCCAAACCATTTTGGACCTTTCTTTGCTGAGGACAAATTTGCAGAGATAACAAAGATTAAATAGAAAGAGGTTTTTAATAGATAATGATAGCAAATGGGTGAGATTTTGCATTCAGATGGAGTGAATGTAGCTTGACAAATTAGAATTCTAAGCCCAATTTGACATTGTCTCAGTGTGATTAGTTTTCACTCTGTTATTTCCATGCCTTAGGCAGTGTCTGAGAAAGGCTAAGATCAGTGACCTACTCGGCTCATGGCAGAGACTTTAGTTTGGAAATTCAAGTGGAAATCAGTGCTACTGTGTCATCGCTGCTGCCCAAAGCGTGGGATTACTTTAATATTTATTAATGTTAGCAACAAGGTGACATCAAATGGTATTTTTATGGACAATAGTTTTGAGAAGATGGTGGCTGGATATTGATTCTATATTGCTTAGTGGAAGATTTACCCTTGACTCTTTTTTATAATTTTGGTTATATACATAGGCTGTGTTTGTTTAGTCTCTCTCTCTCTCTCTCTCTCTCTCTCTCTCTCTCTCTCTCTTTCTATCAAAAATTTCCACACGAAATTATGAGTAACTTGATTCATAGCTGCTGCCAAACTGGGCAGAACTACGTCTAGACTACCACCAAGAGATGATTAGATCTTATAGCTTTCTAAAGAAAGAAATTCTTAGTCTCCCTCACATTACTGTCAAACAATTTTCCACATATCTCTAGCTAATTTTAATGTAATTTAATATTTTCATTTATTACAAATAATTTAATTTTTATTTTTCTCTAAGTTAGTTATTGTTCTATTTTGGAGTAATCATAACTCATGTGTTATATCCGATATCTTTTACTATGTATTACTATGAAATGCAGGTAATATTGAGGCTTTGGAAAGAAAGCTGTCTCTCCACACATATAAGAAAGAGATATAAATATGAGAGGGACAAAATCATCATGCTTTGAGAAAGAAAGAAGTATGGGTCTTTTAGATGGAACACACCTATCTGCTTGTGGATGGTCTCACAGCAATTACTTTTAAATTTTTTCTACATTAAGAGTTTACTTATTGTGGAGCCTGCATGGGTCTGAGCTAGGTCTTCTGCATATTTGTTATTATTGTTGAGATAGGTTTTCTTGTGCCTCTAACAGTGGGAGGAACAGTTGTCTCCTACTCTTTCACCTGCTCTTGAGATCTTTTTCCTCCTACAGGGTTACCTCATCCAGCTTTGATATGAAAGTTTGTGTCTAGTTTTATTATAACTTATTATGCCATGTTTGGTTGATATTCTTAGGAAGCCTGTTCTTCTCTGAAGGGTAACAGAAGATGAGTGGATTTCAGGGAGAGGGGAGGTAGAGGGGAAGGTTTGGGAGAAGTGGGGGGAGGTGAAATTGCAATCAGGGTGTAATGTATGAAAGAAGAAATAAAAGAAAAAGTTTACTCTCTGACTCATGCTCCTGATTCAGCAGTTCCCTAGAAATGACTCTCATCTTTCTGAATTTGGAAATATTACCTTGAAAATGGATGAGAAAACTGATGTAGTATTCTTGTGCATGTATCTGTATTTATTTGGATTAGCATTATCAGCTTCCAGAATATTTCAACATGTGTTATGTTTATCTTTCCCTAGGTTTTGTTTTTTTGTAAATTTTCCTGCCCTCCCCATTGTTTCTAATTATATTTTGTTTTCTCCCTCATACTTTTTCACACATTACATACAAAGCATCCCAAGGTTACAGAATACAGTCTACACATTTAAGTGTTAATGTTTTGTGACCTATGGTTGTAGAATAGTCATATGTCACAAATGATAAAAAGTCAGGTGTCTTAGGATTTTAGGACAATTTGCTGAAGTTAAGGATGACTTTCAGCTTGAACTGCTGCTGTCTTTTTAGTGCAATTACAAATGATCATATGGTTAACATGATGACTTCATGAAACTCTGATGAAACACCAGGAAAATTTACCTTATAAGAGAGACACAATAGTTTTGACTCGTGTTGTCAGGCTTCAGTCCATATTTCTCTTGGTTTCACTCTTTTTTGGACTTATAATGAAATTGTTCTTTCATGGAGGCCAAGGAACAAAGAGACAGGGAAAAAGGCCCAAGGTACCCATATCCACTTGAGTATTCCACCATTCATCCAACCTCCCCTTACTAGGCCCTCCCACTTAACAAGCACCATCACTACCTTTAGAGCTAGAGCTTTGGGAGCATTTGAGGTCCAAGTCATAACATTGTTTAATTCACTATGTGAACATTTTAATATTCAGTATAACAAGCTGAGTTTAGTTTTTCTATAAAATGTACCTGATGTTAATAAGAGAATATGATATAAAACTCATGTATTAATATATATCAAGTTATATCAGATCAATAGTTAAGATGAAAATATTGTAATTTACCTGAGTTGGTCATTTAATTATGCCCACATAATGTGATATTCCTGAACTTCATGTAGTTGGTAAAACATACGAAAAAACGTATTTCTTACCTCCACCCATCCTCCCATTGGAAATCTGCATAACTACAATAAGTACAGAAGAAAGAAACACAAGGCACATTTATAATATTTTGACTTCCAATTAGATGGGATAACCGAATTAGAATTATAATATGAAATATACCTCAATGTTAATCTTATTAAAGCTTCCCATTTGACAGAAATAGGAAGTAAGTTTTAATGACATGGAAAGACTTGCTTATGTCAAAGTCCTTTTTTTGGACTAGTCTGGAACATGTTTCATGTTCCCATCTTATTCTAACATTATTATTACTATAGCAAATTATTTTATTTAAATATATTTTGTTTCTTTTCTTTTAAAATGATATAGAGAGTTTATTAAAGCATGTCAATGACCTTTGCCATTTGGCATTTCATGATTCCAAGGGTTGTTGATATGCATGAGTTACTTCACCAAACAGAGCAGAAAGCCAAGCAATAAGTTTGTAACCCTCTAAAGAGAGGAGCTCATCAGTAAGGTGCTTGTCACCTAAGCATGAGGACTAACATTTGCCCACAGCCTCCATGGAGAAAGCTGAACATACTAGCATGGGCTATAATACCTCACTGCAGAAGTAGAGACCAGCCTCACTAAATTAGTGAGCCGACAAGTTTAGTGAGAGACAATGTAAGGCAGATGATGATTGGGGAATATGGTATTGCCCTTTGAACTCCATTGACGTGTACACATGAGGACATAGACATCCTCACATGTACACACACAAGAACATTCACACATACAGATACAGCCTCCACCAACTCCCTCATATGTTAATTATGATTATTAACTAAAACTAAAAGACCTGTTTAAAAATATTGAGGATAATAGTTGATATACAACACTTAAGGTCAAGAAAAGGCCAATTTTATTATTGTTCTTGTTATCTTTGTTGTTATAACAATTAGCTTAGTAAGTGATAATTACAGGTAAATTCTGCTCTATTTTTGAGATAAATAAATTTTAGTTGACGTATTGAGAAAAGATCCAGCTAAATCAGTTTTTATTACAGCTTAAGGATTGCCCTTTTCATGTATGGCTAAGGTTCATGCAAGTTGTGATGTGTTTCTTGCTCATACTATGAGAGCTAGTTCTCAGCGAGGAGCTTCTATCTGAATGCCTTTTAGTCTTGTATCCAAAGTAGATGATGTCTTCAGCAATGGGATTATACTTTGAAGTTCTGGGAGGAAACTAGGGGTGGCAACAATTGCCTATATTGTTTTTTGAATTCTTTATTTATTTTTTATTTTTTCTCTCATATATTACATCTGATCATAGTTTCCCCTCTCTCTAATCACCCCAATCTTTTCTTTCCACCTACCATCTCCTCCAAAACCTCTCTCTGTATGCCTTCAAAAAAGAGTAGACCTCCCAGGGACATCAAGCAAACATTATATAATATGCTACAATAAGACCAGGCACATCCTATCAGATCAAGACTGAACAAAACAATCCAGTAAAAGGAAAAGAGTCTCAAAAGCAACAGAAGAATCAGAAACAGCCTCTACTGCCCTGTAAGAAATCCCACAGAAACACCAAGCTACTTAGCCATAACAGATGTAGAGAATCTAGGTCAGACTCCTACAAGATTCATGGTCTCTGCAAGCCTCCATGACTCCCAGTTAGTTGATTCTGTGAGCTGTGTTCTTCTGGTGTCTCTGTCTCCTGAGGTTCCTCAGATCCTTTCTCCCACTCCCCTGCTTTCCTAGAGCTCCTTATTCACTCTCTCTCCCAACTCCTCACATGCCCACTGTTTTTCTTTTCCCCCTTTTTAAAAATAATATTTATTTCTAATATATATTACTGTTATAGGATGGGTGTCTGATCCCCGGACTGGAGTTATAGATAGTTGTGAGCTGCCATGTGGATGCTGGGAATTCAACCCAGGTTCTCTGGAAGAATAGTCAGTGCTGAGCAATCTCTCCAGCCCGTCCTATTCCTTTTGATTTTCTTGGTTTCTGTGATGATTCTAGGTTATATACCCTGTTTGTAAAAAACTGAGAAGTAGAATCTACAAATAAGATATAGTTAACTCTCAGAGTTCTCTTGAGAACCAATGATGAGGTCTAGCACATAAATTGTGAAGTTTTAGTTCTATATAGGAAAGCATTTTCAAACTCACTAAGTGTGAATGTCTTACCTTTTTCTTTCTTACTGCCAACTTAAAACATCAATTTTCATGTCTATTGACATTATGATTATTAGAAATATTGGGTTCTCATATCAAACTCTATACCACTAGTTCATTAAAATAGTTTTATTTCCCACCTTCAAAACCTATTTGGTATATTTCAAATAGATTTTCAAATAACTTTTGAATCATTTTTGAGTCGAACCATTATAATGAATGGAAGGAGCATGAATTAAATGCAATTAAAAATGTGCATTTAGTGTTTATCGAATATTGTGGGTAATGTTACATAAATTATCTGCTTGGATTTTTTTTAAACTTATAGTAGTTTGAATGAAAACTGCTCTGCCAATAGGCTTATATTTTGTAACATTTGATCCCCAGTTGCTGGCGCTGTTTGGGGGAGATTTAGGATGCGTCACACTGCTGGAGGAAAATGCCAATCCTCAGCTTTCAGTTTGTTCTTTCTGCGTCACACTTGTGTTTAACATGTGAACTCTCAACTTCCTTCCCTGGCTGCCATTCTAACTGCTTGAAGACATGCCTACTTGCCATGTTGGACTCATCTTTCAGGACCCATAAGGCTAAGAAAACACTTCTATAAGTTCCTCTTGGGGGGGGGGTTACAGCAACAAAGTGACACAAAGCATTAAGTCATGATTTTTGTTGTTTCTTCAACTCTTGTTGATTATATCAAAATAAGTAATATTTTTATGTTACATTATTATTTATTGAAGAAATTTGTTACAAGTCCAAGACCAACCAAAGGTGTACAGCTGTTCCCATTATTTCCAGGGAACCAGAGCCTCATAAAATGCTGTGTCTCGTTGCCCCACTCTCTCCCTATGTCCAGAAGTCTGCCAATGTGTCCTTGGTTATTCATTATTATGTCTTTTTCATTAACAACAATTTGCTTGCAGTACTGAAAACTACTTGTACCTGACATCATCTATTTTTTTTATAGAAATAGATTTGTCACTCTTATCTACTTTTTCGTTTGCTGATTTAAGTGTGTTTTGTAACAGTTCGTAGCAAAATATTTACCCTTACATTGAATTTCTCTGCTTATGAATGTCTGGGCTGTAGCTCATCTGTCCTCAAAGCTTCATTGCATTAGAATGTTGTCTCCATTAACTTACTAGATACTGTCAATATGCTTTGTGTAACTTTTTTTCTTTGAAATTTATATATTTGGTTCCTGAAAGTCCTGGGACAAATACATCTCCAATAGTGAAATTTAATGCTTGCGGAGTTGTTTGGCTTTTCTGCAGAAGAAGGTGATATATAACATTTCAATTTCCTGTTAGGAAATTAGGATGTTAGGGGGAAGTAGGGTTGCAGTATTTTAGAGAGTTTTTACATGTAGTGATTACAAGCACTTTGGATTAAAACTGCCTGGTTTAGTCACTTTGGGCTTTGTTTGATTTATGGAATTTCAGATTTGTTTTTTTTTAATTTCCTTTTGGCTTGGTACCTATGGATGATGAATTCAGGGTGAAATTATATCATTGCAACATCCCTTTTGAGTATAGGGCAAGATTAACAACAGTGGGTATGATTAGCTCATTGCTATGTAAGTATACTTTTAAGTAATAATAATTGTTGCCGTTATCATTAAAATTTTTTAATATGAGGCTAGAGACTTGTGGGAGAACTTAAGAATACTTGCTACTTTTCCAGAGGACCGGAGTTAGATTCCAAGCACTCACTTCTCTTAGCTTCCAACCACTTAAAGTTCCAGCTCTAGGAGTAACTGATTCTTTCTTCTGGCCTGTATAGACTATCACATAGAAGCACACACACACACACACACACACACACACAAATAAATAAATCTTAAAAATATTTAATGACATAGTAGTCTCAGTTTACTCAACTTTTGGAGACTATGAACATCTTGACACATATTAACATAAATAATTTATGTTAATTTCTGTGAAATGTAAATTTAAGGCATTTTAGAAATGAGTACCAAACATGCTTTTGCTTACAAGTAGAGGACTGGTATATTTACAAAAATTAAGAATATTAGATTGATTAGTTTCTGGTTGGAAGTATTATATCTCAATTTATGGATTTACAATTGGAAGTTTACAAGATGGACATTCAGAGAAAAGGGTCATCACTCCTATGATTTTTAATTTTGTAGTAATAAAGTACTAAGAAGAAAAAAAAGGGCTATGCTTATATGACTAATCATGGCCATTTAGTTTCCCTTTGAATTTGAGTGGGGCCTTGAAGAGAAGTCAACATTTACAATATTGCTATTAAACATTACTATATTAATATCTTAAGGTTTGCTTCTAATTGATTTTTTTCCTTTATTTTTTTCTCAGAGCATATGTGCTTTCCCTAGCTTCGTTGTTATGTAAACCACCAAAGTGAAACAATAAACGGGCTTACACTGCCAAAGGACTTTAAGCAAATTGATTTCAAATCACTGAGGACGGTCAGAGACTGAGGTCATGTGGGACAGCACCACACACTATATAAACCCTTTTTAAAAAAATGAGCTGAAAAGAAAAGTGTACGTATTATAAACTAAACAACAATGAGATCATTTAAATCAGAATCACCCTATTCAGAAAGCTTGATTTATCCTTGAGGCACTTTCTCTTTAAATCATATTGTACAAATTAAGAGTGCCTTTCATTTCGAACAGTAGAAAACCCACAACAGCTTTTGATTTATAATGAGATATTCAGAAATAGGCCCTCTAGCTAGCCACGCTGTTAAAAGATGGCATTGAAGAGTCCGACTCTGACCTGTTTTTGCTTTTTTTCAAGCATATATTTTTCTTCCTCAGGATTTAGAAATGACTACCTTAGGCTCAGGCATCATCCCAGTTCTCAGCTAAAAAACAAGGGAAAGAAGGAAGACCAACAGTTCTTACTCATCGAGATGGTTTTATCGTTTTATTCAGAAAAAAACATTTCCTAGGAAAACCTGTCTCCATCGTCTTGGTCACAACTACCTCCTTCCACCCCCTGGTCCCCACTGGATGAGTTTTAGTAATTCAGTATTTTTAGCTGTACATACTTTCTTGGACTAAATAAAGATTCTCTTTTTTTAGTGAGGAATAATGAGAGGTGGGAATGAATAATCTCACATATGAAAGTGAATTCTTTTTTCGGCCAAGTTTTAAAAGTTATTCTAAAGAAGTAAAATGAAGAGCATTATCTTATATTAAATTTTCTAGCTTATTAACTTAAAAAGCTAATCCATGATGAAAGGATGTTGTATTTTATGAGCAGTATATAATTTAAGAGGGAGGTATGGCTGGTAAAAAAATTACTTAATTGTGCATTAATTGAGACTGAGTGGTTGTCAGCCTCTTTGCTTGTTAACGTGAAGGAAGAACACTAAGGTATGAATGAAAAGAAAACAAAATGAAAAAATCAACATTAACTGTTTATTATTGACCCATGAACATTGAATATTAAATGAAATGTGCAATAATTTAGGAATATCAAATTTTATTGTTTAATTAAATGGGCTTTTATCCCTGACACATTTATATCAAATTTCATTACAGATTAATATACTATCAGTATATTATTTTTATCTATAATATATTATTTTCTCATACTCGACAGTAAGCTAAAACTATTCCTTGCTTGATGTGTATTTCAGTAAGCTTGCCCAAACTGAAATCACATATCAGAATAATTTATCCAGAGTTAATTCCTATCATCCATTTGGGTAGCTCAACTCTATCCATCCCTCCAATTACAGAGTATTTGAAGGCATTTTCTGTCTTCCTGCCTGTGGACCCATGCACATGCAAACATATACGCAGTTATAAATAAAAAGAATAGAACCTTATAGATTAGCACCTAGCTCAACTGTCATCAGAAAAACTTTTTCCAGCAACAAACAGATGCAGACCCACAGCTAAACATTAGGTGGGACTTTAGGAATCCTACAGAGGAGGGGAAGAAAGAATTGTAGGAACCAAGGGGTCAAGAATACCACAAGAAAACACATATTCTCAGCTAATGTGGACTTATAGAGACAGAACCAGCAACCAGAGAGCCTTCATGAGACTGACCTAAGTCCTCTACATATCCGTTGCAGTTATGTAGTTTGGTTTTCTTGTTGGAGTCCTAACAGTGGGAGCAGGGGCTGTATCTGACTCTTTTGCTGGCTTCTGGGACCCTACTCCTCATACTGGATTTCCTTGTCCAACCTCACATATGGGAAGGTGCTTAATCTCCCTGCAATTTGATATGTCATGTTTTGTTGGTATCTATGGGAAGCCTGCCCTTTCCTAAAGAGAAATAGAGAAGTAGTGGATTGGGTAGTAAGGACACAGTGGGTATGAAGGGAGGGACTGGGAGTAGAGGCAGGAAAGGAAACTGCGGGAAGTAGATAAAATAAGTCAATTAATGAATTTATTAAAAATAAGTAATACAGAAGACTTTTTTCTAAAAAGAAGAATATAATTTATTTAAATGCAGTGGTATGATTCATGTCATAAAAATATATGCAGTAAAAATGCCACTTACAGAGTTGGATAATCTGAAATGATCTTGAGAATGTGAGGCCAAAGTGTCTCACTCAGATGGAGTGTTTCTTCAGGAGTCTTTTAACTTATAAATATAATATTAGCCATTACCAAGACTAAAGGCTTGATGTGATGGTAAATTATGGTTGAAACAGGTTGTTATTGCATTTATATCTTAAATGAACATATGATAAGAAATGGGTGGACAGATCTTAGAGTGTGCAGAAAGTTTCTTTGGGGTTAGGAGACATCTGGGGAGTTATGAAAACTAATGTATGTGCGGTATAATTTTTAACATAAAACCATAGGCTTCTATTGCCCATCTTCAATGTACTCTGACACTATGTCTGTCTTATAATAAAAAATTCATACTTCAAGGATAGTCTTTTTCCTAAAACATACATGAAATATATAAAATAAACCAAACAATTTATTTGATTCTATTTTAAATACATGTCATTGTACTTTCTGTTTGACTAAACAGTGACATTTACCTTATATTGTCTGATGCATTTGCTGCCAGTGAGATTACTCTTTCAAATAGGTGGCAGGGAAATGAAGCGTGATCTGGAAAAAAAGCCAAAAGCAGGATTGTGTCTGTTAATGTTTTCCCAAGGAAACATTTGATTTACTACTGCTTTTCCATTTGTGGGAATTCTGGGTCGCCTGGGTGTTTCATTCTTTGGTAATTAACAGTTTGTACTAATGTTTCTGCTCACACACACTTTGATATGTACCGAGAAGCTAGCACCGTTCTTCTACTGCACAGAAGAAAAGAATAGCAATATATTGCTTACAGTGAGGATAGATGAAACTGTCAGATACGGAGAATGTCGATTATTTATCTTATTATTTAAATATCTTACTTTTGAGATTACACTATAGTTATACAATTTCTCCTTCCTTTTTCTTCTTCCAACTGTCTCATATGCTCTTTCTTGCTTTTTTTATGGCCTCTTATTTCATTAATTGTTGTTACATAAGGAACACAATTGTCTTTCCCAGGGAAGACATTAGGTCAGTCCTGAAAATAAACGTACGGGTAAAGATATACAGACTGATTAGATTGTATTCATGTATTTAAGAATATATGAAAACATGCAGAAATGCAGATATGTGCATGAAATTGATTTTTTAAAAAAAATTCCCATATGTGTTAAGAAGGAAAATGGTTCAGAGTAATTTGCCTTTTAGATGGAAAAGCGTACTTGAACTTGGCCCGTGTCTCAATCACTCTTCTATTGTTGTGAAGAGACACCATGATCAAGACAATTCTTAAAAAATGTTTACTTGGGAATTTGTTTATAGTTTCAGAGGGTTAGTCCATTTTAATCACTGCTGAGAACATGGTGACAGACAGACATGGTGCTGGAGAAGTAGCTGAGAACTTTATATCCTGACCTGCAGGTAGCAGACATGGGCCTTGCCTGGGCTTTTGAAAATTCAAGTCTCAACCCCAGTGACACAGTTCCTTCAACAAGGCCACACCTTTTAATTCTTCCCTAAGAGTTCCATTAGCTAAGAACCAAACACTCAATCATGTGTGCCTACGAGCACCATCCTCACTCAAAGTGTCACAGTTTTTGTAACAGAAGTTGAAGCAAATATGCTTAGCTTTTATAGTTGAATAGGACAGGTATGGAGTTTAATGTTTATTACAGATTTTTATTTTCTTGAAACTGTTTACAGAGCTGAGGGATACTGAAGTATTTTATCTTTTAATTCTTATTTTCTGCATTTTTAAAATTTATTAAGTGTCCTGATTATATAAAAGAAAAATTGTTGCAATATAGTTTAACATTTCCTTACCAGAATAAATCATTTGAGACTGCTTCTTCCTTTTCTTGACAACACAGAGTAACTTCTTGCCCTCTAGTGTTTGAAGAGATAAAAGACTATTGTGGACTTTGGAGAAATCTTCAGAACTACATGAAGGAAACCACACAGGGTCATGTTTTGGAATAGGACCCAAAAGCTGTGTGGTTTCAATCTGTTTTCTTCACTCTGCATTACCAGTTGGGTTGAAAGTCTGCATGGAGAAAATAGCAGGTTGGCATCTAACAGCATTAGATACCAAATATTTAGCCTCTGTGAAATTTACATTTTTTCAATTGCCTCTGGACAATGTCCTCGTTTTCTCCAGAAAACAGTACAACTCATTGTGAAATGCACTGTTACACTTTTTCAGTTAGTAGTAACTTAAGTTATCTAAAAATGCCAGAATTTAAGATTTAATTAGAACTATCAATATAGTAATAGCAATAACAAATGAAGATTATTAGTAGTTTAAATATACTCATCACATCTTTTTGGTAGTTTCTTTTTTTATTGAATTTTATTGAGCTCTACATTTTTCTCTGCTCCCCTCCCTGCCTCTCCTTTCCCCTTCAACCCTCCGCCAAGTTTCCCATGATTCCAATTTACTCATGAAATCTTGTCTTTTTCTACTACCACATGAAAAAAAAAAAAAAAAAAGAAAAAGAAAACATCATTTTGAGTGAGGTAACCCAGACAAAGAAGAACAAGTACCACACGAACTCACTTATAAGTGGTTTTTAAACATAAAGCAAAGAAAACCATCCCACAAGTCATAATCCTAGAGAATTTAGACAACAATGAGGACACTAAGAGAACATACATAGATCTAATCTGCATGGGTAATTCTTACAATTATATAATGTTAGAATTATATACTGTGTTTAGAAAATTAATTAAAAGTAAAGAATTTCAAAGACATTAAATGAGATCTGCATTTTCTGCTGAAACAAATTTGACATATCTGTAATTTCCACTTAATATATTGATACTTTGTTTTTCAAAATGAACTTTTAAAAATATAAGCATAGAGATATAGAGATTAAACCAAGCCATGTCACCTATGTAAGAATTTGTTTTGAGTGCTGAAACAGATTCTACTTATAGAAGATTCAGTTCTATATTTAAAATATTATATATCTAAGTCTCAATTGGCATCTCCTCCCTTAATTCTATACAAATTACATCTTTAAAAGGAAAATTAGATTTCCAGTCTTTGAAAAATTAATCCCCAATGTTTAGTTTTCAGTGAGAAACGATGAGCATTTGATAAAGACAACAAATGGCCACCTGTTTCTCTTTTGCTCGAAAACACAAAATTATACTTTCCCAGAAGTATTAAATAAAATATAAAATAAATTTGTTACCACAAATGTCTTTTATAGGCTTTGAATTAGGCCCCCTTTTCAATGGAGGGAGCATCCTGAGCCAGTGATGCTTACTGGTTGCTTCTAAACTGAACAATAGCCACATTACAGGAACTGCATGACAAAACCCCGTCCTTAGCATTAAGGCTAAAGCACTAAATGGAATGACTCACTGATCCATGTCTCCTATCACAAGCAGATGCTGGGAGCATGCCTGTGGGATTTTTAAAGAGAAAGAAAAACTGCTCAATGAAAATCAGCACCTTGTTCTCTATTTGCAAAGCTAAAAATGTTAATTATTAACATGGCACATGTCAATCTGCAAATAATTCTTTTGTTTTTTTATTTTTAATTAAATTTATTTTCATTCAATATATTTGTTTCATGTTTTTACCCTTCCATAGCCAAAGTTCTTCTAGATCTTTCAAATCTGCCTACCTGCCCAAGTTCATTTTCTCTCTCCAAAGAGAAAGCAAACAGGGTAAAAACCAATAATCAAAGTCTAAACAAGTTAAAAGTCGATAAGACAAAATAGTCCAAACAAAAAGAAAATGAAAAATACAAAAGCCCACAGAAAATGTAGTTCATTTTGCTGTAATGATCAGGGACAGGGTTGTTTCACCCCTCTGCGGCAACCTGAAAGTTTGAAATTTCAGAGTGTTGAGGAGTGAAAATCTGAAAGGGTGAATAGGAAGAGAAGATAGAGAAAAGAAGCCATTTGACCGGCCTTCAGCAGCAAGCTCAGGCTGCTCAATTAGAAAGTACATTATGTTTTGTTGGGTAACAAGGATGTCTTCAGTTGGGTTGGACTTTGAACTCCTGTTGCCTGGTCACTAAGGAGATATTTGAGTTTATTACCGTCAGTGTTAGTTACCAAACAAGACAACCAGGCTCACAAGGCAAGAACAGGATTCGTTATGTTGTGGGTTTTCTTTAGACCCTAAGGCAAACATGGGAATTAGTAAAATGTCATATTATTTTAATTTTATACAGTGTCTTGGTTTGTTTTCAGCTGCCATAAGGCATTGTATCTGGTGTTCTAGTCTATTTTTGGCTCCTATAGCACAGCACACAGATATGTATTTGGCTCATATTGGAGTCTGGGAAGTCAAAGAGGATGACTAAGGGTGTGGAAGAATAAGTGAACTTCAGTAAGATAGAAGAGAGGCAGTGCCTGTATGAAACCATTCACAAGAATGTGGCCCTCAGACTCACACTATTCCTTTTGAAAATTGGCTTTGGTATGTAGTTTTTACTTAGCATATTAATTACTTGGTTTTAGATGGATGTTTTTCGTTCATGTGTGTCCTCGTAATTTGTAATCAGTTCTTCACCTCTCTCAGTGCCAGTTCCTGCCCTTGTCCCTTCAGCTGGTACCCTATGGCCTCTATTAGTCTGCACTACTTCATTTTCTTTTACATGTAATCCATCACCTCTATTTTCAACCTCATATGGTTGCTCCTCTTCCATTATCCCCTTTATAGTTTCATCATCTATAAAAATACACATATACTATAGGCTATAAATACATGAATAATTTTAATCCATTCTGTATTTGAGAGAAAAAAATGCAGTGTTTGTCTTTTTGAGATCAACTGGTTTACATGCTTGACATTTTTATTTTCGGTTTTATTCATCTTCATGCAAATGTTGTTTTCATTCTTTTTTTTTTTTACCTTGTTAATGTGTTCTACATTTTTCTTATTCATTCATGTATCGATGGACTTCTAGACTAGGATTCCATTTCCTGGCTATCGTGAATAGCACGTACATGAATTGGTTGCAAAAGCCTTTCTGTGGCATATTAACTTAAAATCTTTTGAATATATAACCAAAGATAGTGTAGCTTGGCTATAAGGCTTTGTATTTTTATATTTTATGGGCATTGTTGGTTTGCCTGCACGTATGTTTATGGGAGGGTGTCAGCTCTCCAAAAACTGGAGATATAGGCAGGTGAGAGCTGCTATTTGGGTTCTGGGAATTGAACCCATGTCCTCTGGAGAAGCAGAGAAGTGGATTTTAACCACTGAGCTATCTCTACTTTTCCAGTTTCCATTTTTTTAAAATATAGATATGGTGGATATGAGTCTGTGTAATTTGGTATACAAGTGTGTAATGGATTTGCATATGTATGTCTGTTCTATGCAAATATGTAAAGGGCAGAAGAGGACATTGGGTGCCCTTTCTATCACTCTTCACTTCATTACGACAAGGTCTCTCACTCCCAGTTGCTCAGATACTTCTGTCTCTCCATCCCACATTATTGGGATTATTATAGACAAGCAATGGCCAACCTATTACCTGGGTACTGGAATCTAGACTAACTTTTTATCCGTATACATGCACAACAAGCGTTATTCCACACTGAGTCATCTCTACAAGCCTCATAAGGTAGTCTATTTTCATTTATGTGAGAAAACCCCAAACTGACTTGCATAATTACTATCCATGCTTACTTTTCTGCTATCATTGACTATGTATGTATTCCTCTTTTCAAATCATCTCCAGAATTTATCATTTGTTTCTGATGATAGCCATTCTGTCTGGTGGAAGGACAGCTGAAAAGGCAGTTTTAATTTGTATTTCCACGATAACTAAGATGTTGGATCTTTTAAAAAGTACTGTTTGGCCATTTGCATTTCTTCTTTTGGCAACTGTCTACTGAGATCATTTACCCATGTCATGATTTAATGATTTGGCTTTTGGTGTACATTTTCTACAGTTCTTTATACACCATGAATATTAACTCTCTGCATTATGTGTAATTGATAAAGATATTCTCTCAATCTGTCAGCAGTTTCTTCACACTGGTGAGTATTTGCTTTGCAGTGCAGAAATCTTTGCTTCATGTAAGCCATTTGTCAATTTTTCTGATTATTTCCTGTGTTACTGGAGCCTTCCTCAGGAAGTCCTTGCCGACCTTAAAAGACTTTTTCTAGCAGTTTCAACGTAGCAAACCTTAGGTCTTGATCCAAATTAAAATTCCAGCCACTTTCTTCACAGAACTAGGGAGAAAATCCCCAAATTAATTTGGAAACACAAAAGGCAGGTCTTACTTAAATGTTTAGTACTGGAGGTCTAAAATACCTAAACTGAAGTTATATTTAGAGACATCTTTAGGAAAACATGTTAATCACATGAAAATGGGCTTATGGCATAGAAGAAAACACCCAGGAATATCTCTACAGGTTTGGTTTACCAGCTACAACCAAGGTAAAATGCATGGATTTCCTGTGGAGCTGAAGTTACATTTGTGAGATGCTTGCCATGAGTCGGGAGAATGGTAGTTAGGTCCCCTGCAAGGACCCAACTTAATTCTCTGACTCATCTTGCCACCCATGCAGCTACCTAATATTTTTTATATTAGGTATACAATAAATCATAAGTTAGGGAGAAGACACTCTTGTGCTTAAAAATAAAGCATATTTAGTCTTTGAAAATTTTACAGAATGAATTTTGATCATTTTCACCATTTCAGGGTGTAAAAGTATGTACTGGATGGAGCATGTCCCACATTCTAGGGGAAACTCCCTTAAAGAAAACTGACTTTCCCTCCCCTAGGAGCCAGCAACTTTCTGTAGCTCCCGAGGTACGGGTAGGAGCTCGTGAACCTCTCCTCTCCATTTTAGAGAACTACTAACTTGGTCTTGCAAAGGCAACTACAGGTGTTCTGCATTTATGGATGTAGCAGTCCTGTCATATCCTGAAGATGTTTCTATTTGGTCCTCCTCAACCTCTGGCTCTTACGATTTATCATCCGAGATGTTTGCCTATGGTACCAGAACTTTAGTGGGCAAAAGTTATAGCTGTCCCATTGGGAGTCGAATACTCAATAGGCATTCTAGGTTCTTCCAACAGTCCTAAGTTTCTGCATTAGCAGAAACACAATGTACGAGGAGATGTCTCTGATAAGGGAAGCCAGCTTCCAAGAGACAGTGCTGGAAAACTGGATTTCCTTCCATACATAAAAACTTAAAAGATCTATATGTCTCTCCTTCCATGTAAAATCCACTCAAAATACACCGCTTCTTACAGGAACCATTTCTTGGATGTTACAATGACAAGTCACATTGTCATTTTTTCAAAAAGATATTTAATCCAAGTATTTGAAATGCATTTAATTAAAGTTTTAAAATTTCCTTATGTAAATACTAAATGTCCTTGAGTATTCGAAATTTCAGAAGCCAGTTTAAATTAAAAGCAGTACAGATAAATATTCTGAAAATTACTCTCAAAATCTAATATTTTATTATATAGTATTATAGATGACTTTTAAAATTAGCCAATTAATGCAGATTATTCAAATTTTCTGGAGAAAACCATACTATTGCCCTCATGTACCAATTTCTTTGTATAAAAACAAAACAAAAACTAATAAATTTTGCCTTTGAGTGGCAAGTATTGTCTAGTTTCATAGAAAAATATGATATGAATTTCAATTTGACACAGGAAAATTTGTTGAGTTCTGTTCAGTTTCGAGTTCCAGGTTGTAAAATTCCCATGGTGCCTAAGTATTCCCTCAATCCCAAAGTTATAAGTAAAAAATAAAATATATGAAACACCAACTTTCTGAAAACTGGGAACCAATAAGCCAAAGTTAACAAATTAAAGACTTCTGACTTGCACCACGTTGCATATATTATATATTTTAAGACTGTGGTATTGGGAGAAGACATAGTTTTATCCTGGAGTTTTTCAGGTTTTCTTTCTTTTTTTCTCTGTATTCTCTGTAGCTTCGGGGCTTGTCCTGGAACTAGCTCTTGTAGCCCAGGCTGGCCTCGAACTCACAGAGACCCTTCTGCCTCTGCCTACTGAGCTGAGATTAAAGGTGTGCACCACCACTGCCTTCTCTTTTCTTAAATTGAGGAAGAAAACAAGGAGCCTAACAAAGACCAAGAGGCCTGAAGTCACAAACAAATCATACCAGAGAGGAGAAAACTATTACAGACAAGACTATAGATACTGGCAGGGTCCACAGTCTTAGGCTGGGCATGGTTCAGCTAATGTTTATGAGGAGACTGTCTGAGGCAGTTTCACTAAAATAGATTATAGGTAGATGAGCTGGAAAACATGAAAGACTATGGAGCAATTTTGTTCATGTCAACCGGAGTAGAAAATCTCGTAACTCATAAGTGATCAT